TTTTTTGTAAAATGCAAGATGTTAGCTATTAAAAATACAATAGTTTAATGAAGATTAATTGTATCTAAATATTGTAAAATTTGGATGCAGAGATAAATTACCAATATCTTAAAACTTAAAAATCGTGAAATTTTTACTGTACCTCGGAAAAACAAAAATAAAATAAACATAAATTATTTAAACTTTAATTTCAAAACTTACTCCACATCTAAAAAATCCAGAATGAAAAAAATTAATTTAACCTAGAATAACATTAGCTTGTAAACTTTTTCATAATCCAACTTACCCACAACCAGATGCGGCTTGAGGATTATCTACCACTTGAAATTGTGATCCCAGCAGTTCCTGCGTATAATCTATCTTTGATCCTTTGATCATACTTAGAGAAATTTCATCTACAATTACTTTAACTCCATTATTCTCGAACACACTATAAGGGATAAAAAAGAAAACGATTAATTATTAAAAGGAACCCACAGATCGAATTAATCCTACATGTAAGATTATTACTAACACATCCTCATCTTTGATATTGTTTTGTTCAGTCAAATCATAACAATATTGAAATCCATGACAACCTCCAGAGTCTACCGTTACCCTTAATGCATTATTAGAAGAATTTTCCCGTTCCAAGATAGATTTGAGTTGCTACATCAATGAAAAGGTATAGTCATTAACAAGAATAATATGAAAGAAAAGTCCTTTTTAAAACACAAAATAATTACATTCGTAGCCCGATCTGTGATTTCGATATGCATATCTTTTCCTTGTTCATCTTTCTGTGGGTTTTGGTTTACCGTTGTACTATATGATCTTGATATTGGGAAAGAGAAGTGGTTATTTGATCTTGACGTTAAGGGTATTTTACTTATTATTGGTTTACAACGAATTTTTGAATAAAGATTTCGATGAACAGTGTAGTTAGATAATAAGGTGCGATGCGCTTCAAGCAAACGTGCGCAAATTAACATTTTACAAAGGAAAGAAAAAACAGTATATACTCTTGGAAAAGCAAAAAAAAAAAAGCCAGTTTATTCACGAGATGATCAGCGATCGAATTTACCTGATATATCACGTGATAACATCATTTTAACAATCACCGAATTTAATCAACAATTTTAAAGAAATTATTAAATTAAGTGCGCAAAAAAAAAAGGGAGCTCACACTATATTCATGGTTTTTGATTTACTTATGTAATTGCTTTATGCATGTAAAAGATCGAAAATATTTAATATTTCACAAAGACGCTTGACCATCCTTTGTCTATGAGCTAACGTGACCGGATATTTAGGTAATTAAAACTACAAATATTGATACGTATGGTGACATCGTCCAATGGAAACCGGTATTTACAATCTAGATACAAACAATAATAAATAATAAACCACGGCACCCTAAAAAAAAAAATTTAGTGGAACCATATTTTTTTTTTAAAAAAAAAAAAAGATTCGAACACAATTTTTTTTTTTTTTTTTTTTTGTCCAACGATGAAAATCGCGTTATATACACCCTTTAAAAGATGAAACAAAATATTAGGTCAATAGGAATGTTTTTTCTATCGCACCTATTTTTTTTTTTTTAAACCAATAAATCATTAAAAAGTGGTTTAACCATATATAAGTAAAAATTATGCCATGTGTGTGGGGAGAATTTTTGTCGCGTTTTCAACTTACAAACCCCCATATGGGCTTCACATAATAATCTGATACATGAAAATATATGTAAATATTATTCTGTTTGATCATTTTGAACTTCAGGGTTCGAGGTTTTGAGCGAATCTCGTTTGAAGGTCATGATGATTTGATTGGTTCACTTCATATCATAAATATATAACATAGCCTTCAATCTCATTAAATATTCCGTTGACTAAACTGCAAAGTTCTGCATGATGCTTTCCGTCATTGTTCTTTCTCGGAACATCTAAACTTATAAATTCTCTTTCTCTTTGATACACAATATGCTACCATATGTGGTCAGCGACGATTAGATTGATTTAAACCAAAGGGAACAAATAATGCTAAAATTTTAAAGTTTTCTTGGGTTTCTCCGAATGTAAATGCATGTGGCAAGTCAATCAAATAATAATAATAATCATCTAAATCTCATATTCTTAAAGCAGAAATCATATCCGATTATTTCAAAATTTTCTCATTATATCTATAAAATTTTTGAATACAATTATTTTATGAAAGAGAGTTCAAATGGCAATATCTTTGGACGATGATACAAACTAGATTCATGATGCGGATATGAAACATCTTTTCTTTTCCTTTTAAAAACATTGGAATAAGAGATGGAAAAAGAAACATGATTCTTTTTTCTCAAGACGTTCGAAAAAGTTCACTGATCAATGAGAAAACCTTATTCATTTCATGTCATCTTATTACGCAATATATGTGATAGAAGTTTGTTTCATTTTTTTTATAAACATTCAAGTTTTATTGGTGATAATTTCGGGGAATAATGAGGATTTAATCGACTTATTCAGGGACAATTAATCTTGCTTGCATCAATCAAATCGTATCGTTGTAAAAATAATGTCACAAAAACCCCCATTAAATCACGGAATTAATATTTCATTTATCACATAAACAAAAGGGAAATAAACAATAACACCAAATTATATACCAAATTTGAACTCGTTCGAACTTTTTCTTTATTGAAGAAATGACAGGAATTCCCATAAATGAGTATTTGAATGAATGATAGGGTAAGGTTACTCCACGTTATTTTATTAATCATAGTAGTAATTAAAAAAAAAAAAAATTGATTAGTAAATCTTTGGTTCCCAAAAATACCTTACTAAAAGCAAATAGGGTAAAATAAATCGGATGTGATGTTAATTTTCTTTTTTTAGATCCCAAGGAAAATTTTTTCAATTAAAAAGAAATCGAAAAAAATTCGAAAACTTTTTTTTATTTTTTTTTTTTTATAGTTTTGATTAGTAATTCTTTTTTCCGAAATGGACCGAATAATAACAAACCTTTTGTTCCTTATTATGTGGCACAGCAAGTTTTTTTTTTTTTTTTATACACTTTTTACCTTATAAATCGCTCCATACAATCGGAATTTTCAATTGTCCATATCAAGTAATTAATACATTGAATGACATTCCCATTTTATGAGGCTTTCTCAATAACAATACGTTGTTGTAAAAACAAAAACGTGAAAATTCCTTTTGTCAGCCAGTGATAGATACAATAAAAAAATCGCATGATTAAATAAAATTATGTAAGTAAAAAAAAAATAATCATCTTTTTCCATGCTAAGCCTCCCAACAAATGACACGATCACTTCCATTTATATCCTTTTGAACCCATAATTCCCCGTAATAGTAGCGTAAACGTTTATCCAACCCAATATTATTTATCGATCTATTGTGGAAAATAGATGTTGAGATCTAGATCATATGAAACTTCGTTCCCAACTCGACGTTTATTTATTATGATGATACTTACTGGTAAATTAAATCAAAAAGTTTTTTATTATCTAAACAGAAATGAACAAATCGAATTTGTTTTTATTTATTCGTGTGAAAATATATGCAAGGCAACAATACATTAATCTCAAAAGAATGAAATGTTTAAAATTTTCTTCCCATTGAACCGCAGCAACATCGTAACCGTTGGCGCAGTTATCGAAGAAGGATGGGCTCGTTTTTTTTTTTTAAACAAAAACAAAGGGGAAGCTAAAATTATATTAGCATGAAAATTAAAGTTTTTCCTATCTTTTTTTATAAAATATTTTTCCACGTTTTCATAATTATCATTCTATATTTGATTAGTATAATTTTTTAAGATAATTTTGTTGTTTTGTTTGTTATAACGCTTTATCTGGTTAAAAAGATCTTTTTTTTTTTAATAAAATCAAGGTTTGAACTAAAAAGAAATAAACATGTCAAATTATAAACATCTACTTTTATAGTTATCTTTTTTTTTTCGATCATTCAAATTTTTTTTAATGTTTTTAAAATAAATTTTTATTTAACGCAAGAAAACAAACCAAATATAATAAATGAAAATAAAAAAAAGGAAGAAATAAAAAAACTTTTTACAAAATAAAGAAAAATCTACAAGTGAACAACTAATAAAAAAATTGATGAAGGAAAAGGTGGATATGTAACGGATTACGGGCATAAGGATATAAAAAAAAATGTCTATCTGCTCAAAAATATGGCCCGCCTTCTTTTTAAAGGTTTTTTTTTTTTTTTTTTTTTTTTCGTTTTATTAAATTTTTGTAAGTAAAAAAGGAATTTTTAAAAAAAAGAAATTATTAAAAAGAAATTATATATAAAAAAAATTCTTAGAAAATCGTAAAAAGGAATGAAAAAACATACAGAACGTATATCGTGGGTGTGGAAGTTATACATCTAATTATTATTATTACTATTATTATTATACCAATGAGACGCACATAATGCTAAAAATATGGGTGTTTTTTTGTTTTAATTAATTATTATCAAACCGCATACACTGACTGCTCTCCTTTTTAAAGATTTTCGAAAAAACTTAAGAGTTGTAATATAAAACAAAGAACTTCTGACGCGTCACTATAAACATGCTTTTCCTTCGCCATCAGTTTTATTTCTCAAATTTTTTTTTTTCTTTTGGAAGTGAAGGACACATCCTTGAATGAGGAAAAAAAAAATTTCAAAAATCAAAACCGAAATTATGAACGGAAAATGGAAATTAGGAATCAATAATAAAAGGGCTAGGCTCTTGAAAAGCTAATTTTTCTCTGTGTTGTTTTTGTTTGTTTTTTTTTTTTTTTTTTTCTTTTTTTTTTAATAATAAAATTGTCCGCCATATCCTATTATTTACTATATTCCCTTTCATCATATGCATAAAAGATTTTAATTGAGTTTTAAAGAATTTGCTTGCAGAAAACAAGGGAAGGAAAAAAAAAATGATGATGATTTTTAAAAAATTGTTCTTTTTTTTTTGGTTGAAAAATTTTTTGTTTTTGGTTTTGGTTTTTTTTGAAATCTAGAAAAATTTTTTTATATTGATGGAAGAGATATGTTTAACCCGACGGAATTCTTTGCAGCAGCAGCTTCCGCAGCTTTACGTTCTTCCTCCTCTCGTTTCTGTCGTCTCCATTGTTTGCGGAGTTCTTTGAATTCTATTATTTAATTAAAAGAAAATATAGGTAAGATGACGGAGCCGTTTCCATTTAACCTCAATTTAAGGGAGCAGCAATGAAGACTTACCGGAGGGGTGTCGTTTTGGTCCGTGCTTTTGCATCTGTACATGAGCGTTCAAGTGATTGAGGGTACCGTAACTCTTCGTGCATCCGGGGTAGTTGCAAGCATAATGACGTTCAATCTCATCGTATCTTCTTCGTGGTCGCTTTTTTGTGTTAATGCCCGGTAGAGCAACGAAGGAATATACTTTTTGTGGACGTTCCCCTGTTGAATTCATATCATCTTCTGGTCTGTAACCTTTTCGACCATTCAAAGAACGATGTGAAGAGGCTAACATTCCACTATTGTTCATGGATTGTGCAGCAGCCATGAAGTGGCTGTTGAGTAAAGCTTGGTGAGCAGCCGCCGGATGTTGGTAATTTAATGTCGCTCCCGGAACACCAGTAACGATCGGTGATCCCGTCGATGACCCGGCGCTCAAAGGTGATTGCTCAGAACCAACCGTCAATCCAGTATTTATGGCTAATAAGGCATTACTACCGCGTCTCGTAGGATCTAACATGGCAGCGGTTTGAATCCCGGCTTGTTGTAAATCTGAAGCAGTTGCACCACCGAGTCTTGGTAATGTTCGTGGATCCACGACGGGAATATTTGAAGCGATTTGGGTCTGTTGACTCAAGGCGGCGGCCTGCTGTCCGAGCGATTGTTGTTGAGCTTGTGACATTAGGGAACCCTGTGTTGCGGAGCCATAAGTCGCACCATCAGCGGTGTATGAAGCGGCATCAGGGTACTGAATCGATTGAAAGAACCCATTCTGAGCTGCGGCAACAGCGGCAGCGGCGTTCGCGGCCTGTTGTTGTTGCTGTTGCGTTTGAACTTGAACCACTTGAGATTGAGTAGGTGAAGGAGCTGTGGAATTTGAGGATTGACCAGAGAGCGTGGTGGATTGTGGGAAAACTTCAGATAATGGAGGTAGGACTTTTAAACCACTATCTGGGGATAAAGTAGCAGATGACGTTGCACTTGAGGGGATCATGTGTGGAGAAGTTTGCACCTCAAGAGAAGATGCTTTGACATCAGGTTGAGAATTCATAGTGCTTCCCGTGTTGGTTGATTGATCGTATCTATTATAATTCAATTGAGAATAACCGTTAGCTTCGAATCCAAAAGAACCGTCTGTCGGCGATTGTCTAGAAAAAGATGCAGCCGAGGACGATCTTGAATGATTGTTGTTGGAAGTGTAAGTTATACTTTGATTTCCGTACAAGAATGAAGGTTGTTGATATTGACTTGATGCTGCAGTTTGATACATGGAGGAAGGAATATTTTGGGAAGGAATTTGAGAGAAATTTCCGATTGAGGTGTTGTTGGTTAAATCAAGATTATTCCTTGGAGAATTGAAACTGTTTTGAAAATCGTTTGGAGTGGGTTGTAAACGGATCATTGAAGATGATGAGGAATTATTAAATTTTTTTTTTTTTTTAAAAAAAAAAAAAAAAGATTATTACTTTGGAGGTATTTTTTTAAAAGGTTGAGAGGAAGTCGTTTCAAAAAAAAAACCTCGTTTAAATTTTAACTAAAGGGATTCTTTTTAAAGAAATAAAAAGGTATTTTCACACGAAAGTTGACTGGAGGGTTCGTCCGTGTGATTATTTTAAATAATAAAAAAACTCACTAGCTAATAACGAGAGAGTGAAATAAATAATAATGATATATAATAATAATAACAATAACAGAAAGAATCGTAATATTTTCTTTTTGTTTTGATATTTTTTCCGAATAAAATAAAAACTGTTTTGATCAGAGGAAAGAAAAAAACGCGATTGTTTTGATTTTCTATTCCTTCACAATTTTTGATTCGTTACTTGACCGTGTGACGAAGTCGTATCGATTTGAGAGAGAGGTACGTATGAGAATGCGTTCTCGAGTCACGAAAATACGAAAATTTTTTTGAATCTTTCGAAAGAATTTTGTCGATCGTCGTTAAATATAATTCCAAAGATTTTTTTTTTGTGTATGAAAATATGATGTTGTTTGATTGATATGATACCTTTTGTCTTTCGTTATCTAGAGTTATTGAACCAAACAATTTAAATATATTTTGAAAAAAAAAAAAGTTTTTGTTGTTAGCCTTATCCTTCTTTAAGGAAGGGAAGAAAAAAAAACTATATATTGTTTTTCTTTAATGTTTAAGGTAACCTGGCTGACGAAAGGAGGTTTTTTATCATTAAAAAAAACAAGCTAACGGTTTTTTTTTTGGTATTTTTTTTTTTTTTTTTGGTTTTGAATTTTTGAAGGGAGGAAAATTATTTTGTGTTTATATAATTTTTTTTTTTATAAAATGTATACAGTATATATATATATATTTTAAAAAAAATAAAATAATATGTGTGTTTAATTATATGTGTGTGTATATATATAAATAAATAAATATATATATATATATTAGTGAAAAATAAGGTGGTTGTTATTAAGAATAATAATATATAAGGGGAAAGGGGAAAAGAAGGGAAAAAAAAAACGAACAAATTGTCACAAAAAAAAAAAAAAAATACAAGAAACTTATTTATATAAATAAAAAAAGATTTTTTAAAATAATAATATTGATGATTGTTTATTTTTATAGTAGGATGTATAAATAAAAAGATATAGTAATATTGACGTTTATTGTAATTCCATTTTATTTATGTATGTGTTGGTTGTAATATTATAAATTACTCACTTTTTTTTTTCTTCCAAGAAAACAATATTGTCGTTTGATCGTAATCCGAAATCTTGTGATAAATTTTTTTCAAGTTGTAATGAATAATCAAAGGATTGCCTGTTGAGGAAAAATAAAAAAAATTTGTTCGGAGTCGAAAAAGTTCATTAATAATAATAATGTGAGAGATTTTTAGTGAAAAAAAAAAAAAAAAAAAAAAAAAAATAGATTATTCATGTATTCCTACCTGATTAAAAAAAAAAATCCCAGAATCCAAGAGAAAAAATAATAATTGAAACTGTTAATCAAATAATACTCGGGCCAATGAAGAATATTGTGGGTAAAAAAAAAATGAGGGTTTGAAATAAAATGATCGAACCCTAAATTTTTTTTCCTCCAAATCAAATTTTTTAAAAGAAGACAAAAAACACCAAAATGATAGATTTTTTGACTCTGCGTGTAAAAAAAAACCCGAAGAAAAGATTCGAGAGAAAGGGAAAAAGTTGAGGAGAAAACGCGAGGGAAGCTCGTCCTTTTGTATTATTTTTTTTTTCTGAAATAAACGTTATAGATTAAAAAGTATAAAAAAAAAACCTAGTAAATATATCTGAGATATGATGATAGATTGGTTGATAAGAAGACGTGCTATATAAAAGGAAATGATAAAGAAAAAAATAAATCACTGGCCAACTGTGTTAGTTAATCGGGTTGCCAAACCGGTATCGTGATATAAATATACAGTACTTTTTTTATGTGATTTTTTTACCAGGGACCTTTATATGTGGGACCCATTTGATCATTTGATCGACTGATAATTTAGAAGTCATCATGATATAATGTTGTATTCTGTAAATGGAAGTGTGACAAAAAAAAATATTACATTACAGCCAATCCTTCGCAAGAACCGAAAGGTACCAGGTCCTTGTCTCACTCGATAAAAAACGAGGGGACCTTCATGGCATAATGAACTCATTTATAGTGTGTGTTTTTGGTCTACAAAAAATACTCATTAAAATTAAAAATTCATCCATATCACATCCCAAAGAGAGACGAATGTCTCTTGAAAATATTATGACAAATATGTCAATATTTTTTTTTTTTTATTTTCACGGGAAACTCTTTGATATTTTAACAAAAACATCATACAAGGTTTTCCATGAAAACGCCATTAAAGTAAAGTATATACATACATACATTATATCATTCAAGGAAAAAACCTGTAATCTCATCATGATGCTTGCCCTTTTTTATTATGTTATTACTTTGTTTAATGTAAAGAAATCAGAAAAGAACTTGGAAGAATTCTCTGAGAAAAAAACGAATAATTCTCTTGATTTTCATGTTAGTCTAGACTCAGCTTACTCAGGTCCCAAAGGTAAAATGTCATTAAAGCTTTAGATGATGCGTAGATGACGATTGATTTGCGTTGAAGATAAGCTATGCAAACAATCCAACGAGAATAAGGGAAAGCTCAATGACGTCTTTTGCTATTTTTAAGAAAAAAAAATTTTAAGTTTATGTAAGTTATGTATGTAGTGAGATATTGTAATAGATCTTTTTTTTTTTGAATTTTCCTGCGTTTATTGACCAATTGCACCTCAATAGTATGACGGTGAGAAGATACGGTAATTAATTATTATTTATTTTTTTTTCTTATCCAAAGAATCAATTCGACGAAGAGAAGGGTGACTCAATAATGATTAATCATGAAACAATATCATTCCCTTCCGATTTTATTTTACCAAAATCTACTTGTCTTGTACCACGGTGATGAATGAGCTTCCATAAACAAACATTTATTACATCATGAAATGTAACCGTGCGATGGAATTTTTTTCTCTTTTTTTTTTTTCTCGAAATCGATTTTTATTCTAAAGCTAAATATAAATATTTAGTTTACATTATGGAAAATCAACTCTAAATTAAACGAACACCAACGAAAAAGACATTACGATACACTAAGTTTGTGTGACAAAACAAATTAATAATCCTGTCACAAAAATTTAGACCCGGAATAATTCATATCATTTACGTTTGTTGCATATTTTGGAGAGAAGAAAGATTAACGATCAAAGAATGATCTCGTCAAAAGCGAGAAATCCTTGAGAAAAAAAAAAAGAAAACCGGTCGTCACCGCATGAGTTGCATAAGGGCCCGCAAAGGCAATGATAGCATGAATGAAGTCATTATGTCCTTAAAAGGTTAAAGAAAAGAAGGCTGGAAAAGGTTAGAACTTGCCTGAAAGGTGATGGCACCTCCCGAACCCTTGAGGTCCCAGGCCCGAACACGACATCAAAGAATCTTCCATGTAGTAAACACAACTAATGAAAGGATGTATGTATTGTTTAATTAAAATAATTAAATAAATTAACAAGGGCGTAGAGAAATACGTCACAACATCACTTTTAAATGATTTTCGGTCGCATGGCAGAAATACGAAAGAGCGCAAAAAATACCGTGACCTTCGTGATAAAAGGATAAGAAGAAGCACATGATCAAAAATACTGATAATAACAAATGATTACATTTGATGTAGGTGATCAATCGTTCACAAACAATAATAATTTTTTAAAATAAAAAAAATGAATTGGTCATACATTAACTAATGAAGTCAACAAATATGGTATTTCACTTGAGAATTGAGACGAGCGTTATTGACACTAGTGCGTCATAAACGCTTATTGTTTTGTTATTGTGCGACACTATTAAGAGTTTTCGGACCATACTCATTTAGGATATCGCCGTTATGATATTTTGCGGATAACTTTTCACCCCGACAATAATAATAAATCGTTTCAGTTGAACAATTGAAACGCAATACATTTAACACGTTACATTGTCATTTGCAAATCATAATATTTTCATGCTTTGCGATCGTTTATATTTTCTCTCATATTTTCTCTTCTCTTATCATTTTATTTTAATTTTTTAATTTAATTTTTTTTTTTTAGACAAATAAATCGTTCAATGGGAATTTTTTTATTATGACCGCCACTTTCAAATGGCTTATCGAGTAGTAAGTGACTCAATACTTGTTATTTTTTTTTTTTTTTTTTGATTCACTACATCAATATTTCTAAATCTCGACGCGAGCTTCGACTAAATCATACGCGTATATCAAAGCTTAACCAATTTAAGCATAATGCAATAAAACTAATAAGTTTTCAACTTACTTGGTGTCAATCATATCTATATCTGAAAAACGTGAGATAAGATGTTTGTCAAGAGGGCGTTATATACATTATTTTATTATTATATGGTGGGAATATCATAAATGAAAAAAAAAGAGATCCATTATGTCATAATGTTCCCACATTTTCCTGTTTGTTACCTTTTGTTTTACTTAATACTTCATTGTTTTTTATCGGCTGAACCAAAATGGCCCCTGCGATTGATGTTTATTATCAAAATTAGGGATAGTTGTTTCTCTGGCACTTTTTTGCGTTTGAATTTCTTTTCCCTTGAAATCAACACACCTTGACAAAAAAGTTTCCCAGTTGACCAGTTTCAGACATTCCAAAATTATTCAAAAACGACAGAATTGTGATTTCTTTATATATTATTTATATATATATATATATATTTTACCAGCCTTTCCCGACCTTTTGATGTTATGCACCTTCATATGCTAATGTCCCTTTTGCTCATGCCACGAGAGAAAATAGTTGAAAAGTGTCAAAATTCGATCTAACAATCATTTGTTAGAACAAAGGATAGATCACAAGATAAAGAACCATATATTTCTTCCCATTTAGTATATACGTTTATCATGTGTTATGCAATAGTATACTCGGTCTACTTTTAACCGAACTCCAATCAAATGCTTGTTCTGGATTCTTTTTGAAATGAATAATATGAATAAATTATACCAACCTCTCAATTTTTTTGACCTATTGTTATACGTTGTGCTACATTTATATGTTTTCTGATTAACCATATTTATGCAAGGCTTACAAATCGTCGGGAATTGTTACCTAATCCCCACTAATTATTCAAAAAGGATTGATTTTATTCATCTGAAATGTTTTTTGTCACATCATATTAAAGTTTTCTTGTATGATGTATCCTTTTTACATTACCTTGATTTCGGTTGATATCACATGTTACAACTGTAAAACGCCTACTTACCTTTTTGACCTTTATAATTAACATCCCACACTTTTTAAATTTACATTCCGACCAAAAAAAAAAAATACTATTACTAAAATGAAATATTTTAATTACTAAACTATAAATCTATCATAACACAGCCAATACTCCGTTCCCAAAACCCCGCATTATCATATATATATATATTTTTTTTTTGTTTTTGACACTTATTATTTATACCAAAATTTGACATATAATGATGGCTTTATTTGTTTATTTGTTATACGGTATAAGATATATCGGTTTTAGTTACTAGCCTAAAACTAAGCTAGTTAGAAAACGGATTTGTCTCGTTTTAGTTATAATGATTACTAAAATCCTAGTTACAATACGAGAAGCATTATTATTCCATATTGGTGCTCGTTTCTTTCTTTTTTGAAAAAAAAAAAAAAAAAAGGAGTCAATGCATGTCATCTCTTTAATAAACAAATTTCACGCTCAGTCGAAACAATCAACGATATGAATAATTGTAACCGCATTGTTGCATTCATCGAACTTCCCTTTTTCGATGAATTTCTGTAACCTATAAGACTAATGATGTTTTAGTGATGTTTGCATAACCCAATTGTCTCTTTGTTTGTACACTTTTTTTAGTTCCTTGACAGTTTCCCCACTTGTTTTTTTTTATAAACAATGGAAACTTTAATAGGAAAAAAAAAGTGACCAAAGGTTGGTTATACTTGGAAAGGAATAAGGTTTTTCAACTTAAATGATTAAGAAAAAAAAAAATTTTTTTTTTTCCTAAATCAAAACGGTAAATAACATAATATCGTTAGTAAAAAATAGGAAAGTATACACTAAAAAAAAAAATCTACAATTGATTTTTTCCGTATGTTGGGCATTTCCCAAAATTTACTAGTGGGGTTGAAAATCAAAAAAATTGTCACACAAGAAAAGAAATTAATATATTTACTTTTATTTTATTTTTTTTTATTTTTTTTTATTTTTTTAAAAAAAGAATCATGTCGTGAATATTTCTTTTCTCTCACGATGACGGATAACGCAACGGAATCATTATTGAACATAACGTAATGAATATAATAATCCTCTGACTTTTTTTTTTTTTTTGCTTTCACACATGTTTATCACTCGAGTAATTTAATCATGCACATGCTTCTCCTCGGGTTATTGTCCTGATCATTGTTGAAACAATTGCGGAGAAAACAACTTTCGAGACGAAACGAATGATGATTCATTGAAAAGCAAGGAATTGGGACATCGTTTAGCCTTTACCCTCTCTTTCATTGGAAAGGGTTTTTTTTATGTGGTTGGACACGGGACCAGTAAAGTTGTACCGAACACAAAAGCTTAGTAATCTGCGCATCTTGCTTTATTCGAAAAAGATGGAAAAGAACGTTTTGGAATCCGTGACGTAACGTGCTAGGGTACCCAAAAGAACTCGTAAATTTTAACGTGATCTCTACAATCCAAGTCACAATCCTTTTTTAACATTCAAAAAGATAAATAGCATTTGACATCTCTCGAGCCAAATCAATTGACCAAACTTGGTTCATACATTTCCTATTTACAGCAAATTTTCCTTTAATCTTTTTTCTTTTTAAAGAAATAATAAATAGCTCATGATTATGATTCATTGATAAAAAAAAAAAAAATAATAATAATAATTTTTAATTATCTCATAATAAAATTCCCATGAATTTTTATCTTTTTTTAGAAAAGATCTGAAATCATTCGATCCATGAGACTTGATATATATATATTTTTTTTTTTACAAGAATTAGGGTTGTTACTTTTTTTTTTTTGTTTCATTGTTTTACCTTAATCCTTCTTTTGTTTAATTGGCGTTTTGTTTTTTTTCTTTTTGATGATTTATTTACTTTTTTTTCCTGATACTCATCTTTATTTGTTTATGATTCGTAAAGTTGGGCGTAAAAAGTGTACATGAAGCACATCTCTTTCAATCTCCCAAGTATTACTTGATCTGACCGGATTTTACCTTTTTACGGTTTGAAACAAGTCGGGGAAGGTTTTACTTGTTTCGCAATGTTATAAAGTTAATTTATATTTGTATCACAATATCTTTTTAAATTAATCCAATTTTAGACGTAATTCGCAAATTCTTGAAACAATCGGATAAAAAAATAATATAAATAAAATTTCTTTACTGGTTTTGAGATATATACTTTAAAAAAAAAAATGGTTTTGTAAATATGGGAATGTTACGCGTTGTAAAACATTGGTAAATATCACGAGATCAAAAATAATTTTTTTTTTTTGTTTTTCTTGTTGTATTGTACGATTTTGATTGAATAATAATTACACAAACTAAATTAAATTCTTAGGCGCAAAAACAAATCACAAATTCAACGTTTTAAATTTCGAACGATAAGGACATTCTTTTTTTTTTTTTTACATCTATCAGAGTATTCATCCCATCGATAAGGTAACGAAAAAAAAAAATAAGATATCAATTCTTGAAACATCACACCGCAGTAATCTTTAAAACATTTGATTGGCCACAGGACGAATCTATGTCACTCACTGGGTTAAACTTAAAAAAGGCAACTTGGCAATTCTCACCAGATCTTTTTCTTTCTTTCTTTATTTCCCTAAAGAAAATAAGAAGAATTTGGGTACCGCGTGTAACGATAAATAATTGGTCATGTTTCATTTCCTTCTCGTAGATGAAGAGATGAAAACTTTGTATTACGACGCTAAGGAAAAAAAAGGAAAAAAAGAAAAAGGCGAACAACTCAATCTCAGATCTGGCAGTATCACAGTGTTACGGGATCTGGTATCACACCCTGTACAATATCTGGTGACCAAAAAAAAATATATAATTTTCTTTTATATCCGAAAAATGATTCACTATTTATTTAAAAAAAAAAGAGGACCCCAGGTAAAGAAGTAGAAAGAAAGATTTCGTTTGGCGTATGTCATTATCCAATGTAAATTTTTTTTTGGAAAATAAAAAATTGCTCTCTTTTTTGTTTTAAATTGGGTTTTGTATAGAGTATTGACATGATGAAAAATTTCATGTCATGCAATGTGGCGTCTTTATTCAGAATAAAGAGAGTAAGGCGGAAGTTTGTATTTAGAAGATAAAATGATAAAAAGAAACTGCGGGGCAGCCCATAGTCGACCACAAAAAAAGATGATGTATGTGCCCATTTTTCATGCATTATTATTATTATCAACCATTTTTCAGAGTTCATCCGCAGCAAAAAAAGGTTTCATTCGACTTTAGAAAAATTCCGACATGCATCCGTTCACCAGCATCATGCGCGCTAATAACCTACAGTTATTTTTCTTTCCTTTTTTTTTTTTTTTTGTTAATGTAATGCTGCATAATTATCACCCTAATTTATTTTTTTAAAACAATAGTTCCTTCAAATATATTGTGCGACCCATTTCACTTTTTCGTTGAATAAAAATTTTGGGATTTTCAAGATTCTGAAACGGGCACCCATTTTTTTTTTTTTCTCATCTTCATGTGTCCCCCGTTTATTTATTATATTTATTATTATTATTATTATTACTATTATTATTATTATTATTCAACGGAAAATTTAAAATATAATTATTGTGTGTGTGCATGTGTTGCCTCATGTGGAGAAAATAAGTTTAGGGAACAACCGCATGCGTAACATCTTTGTATTGGTTTCTAAATCGGTGAACCTTCTTGGATAGGAAATCTGATAAATGATTCTTTCTTTTTTTCTTTTTGATTTTATTTTCGGTGACTTTTTATCGTGGTGAAGGTGATGGACGATCTATGTAACTAATGGTAACTATAGTTGATTGTTAATGGAAACATTTTCTAAAACTTTTTTTTTTTCGACGAAAAGGGATTGCGCCAAAAAATTCCCTTTTTAACCATTGATATACATTTTGCCGTTGCCAAGTCTAGTTTGCCAAGGGATGTACAATTTTTGATATATATATATATTTTTATGTATACAAGTTAAGGGTTCATTGACCCCGATTGTCCGGAACTTTCTCCGCACCTTTTTTGATCCTTCATGGAATTCCATAGGAATGGGTGATGGAAACTTTCAAATAAGCGTTGACGCCAATTCTCCGCGGATGTAAGGCCTCCGAAATTCGGATGATGATGTCGAGACATGTTACATTATTAGTTGAATTATGACTGCTTTTTAGTAACGAGATGGTAAAGCACCACAAAAACGTCGCACATCGTGTTCAAATGGAAATGATTCTGGGCTGGCGAATTAGATGGAAGTCCCTTCTTTATTTTTAAACTTTCGACCGCAGATCCAAACAAAAGAGGCCCGTGTGTCATTTTTCAAATCCGTCATAGTCGCTTTTAAAACATCCTCATAGGGTTTAACTCTTGTGATAACGATATGTGGTAAGTAAATCTTTAATTGTTTCATACGTTGTGTCATATGAGCATTTAAGAAGTCATTTAAGCTTACCGTTTTGATTGGTCCACAACAATATCTCTTTTTTTTTGAAACTACAACGCGAAAAAAAAAAAAAAATTAATATTTATTAAATAAAAGGCGTGGTACATGGTTTTATTCAATTATATTTGATCAAAAAATTTTTTTTTTAAGCGATGTTCGGATCGGGAACTTCGAACTTTTCTGTTCTTTTCTTCCATTTATTTTTTTATTTTCTTTTTTTAAAATAAATCATAAACCGAGATTGTTATAATATGTAACGATACGAATAACATTCACAAATAAATAAATGAGTCACGTGGGGTTTGAACCTGATTTCCTTCAACATCCTAATTTTGCGATTGAACATCCGAAAATTGATCCATTTGAGAAATCAATCGTTTTCAACATACAGCATTTCGCAGTACCATACATTTAAATATATATAATATATTTATATATCACATCTTAATTTATATTATATTTAAGCTAAGTCAAATCAAATCAAAGGTCTGATCAGAAACCTTCCTACAAATACCAATTTAAGACAATGTATAACCGGGAGATTTTTTCTCCAAAAGAGGGTTCATTTCTGATAAATTAGGTTGGTTCCGATCGGCCGACACTAAAATGAATAAATAAAATAAAACTCGGGAAGAAGGGGACTTAAATGAGACTAAATCCTACCTTATAGATATTAAAAAAAAGTTTTGTTCTGTGCGCGTATTTTGGTTAGATTGGTGATGTCCTAATTCGGTGTTTCCGTATGTCATCTGCTCTTTATCAGTAAAAGTATGTAGGTCGATGCTCTCTTTCTCACTCTCCTTTTTTTTTTTTTTTAAAAAAAAAAAAAAAAAATTTCTGACCCTTCTTTTAGAATAATTTTATGTATTTACGCACACTCATGCAATTCATTGAATGAACCTTTTTTTTTTTACACAAGGTAAATAAAATGATGTTCCCATCCCTATAAAAAACGTATAATATTTTGTGATTTACTTATTATCTTTAATAGATCTTTGTTGATGTCATTGATTATATTTCATTGGGAATTTTGTATGATGGTATATGTAAAAAGATTATGTAAATAAACAACGCCAACAATGAATGATTCAAGAATTTTTCTTTTTCGTTACGTAATGACTTATCTAACATTTGACATGATTTACTTATAAACATGTTTCAGGACAAGTTTTCCGTTATCTATAAGGGAAATCATTTTTTATAGAAAGTTCGCGATTGGTGCTAAAAAAAAAAAATCTCAAAGAATGTAATCGTTACATTCTTAATCAACAAAAGTTCTTGGTTCTTTAATGGTAAATCCATCTCATCATTGACCAGTTATGCTGGTTCAATTTTTTTTTCTTCTTCTTCTTGATTAACAAATATTTTACTCATTTTTTAATTTATTAAACGGGGAAGCAATTTTTCCTTTTTGAAAAATGTAAATAAATCTCTCTCATACATGGGAAATTTTGCAAATAGAAAGAGGAAACTGCCCGGGGGAAATTAAAAAATGAGAATGAGTTAATGTTAAAATCTCGGCCTAAAAATACGTATTTGGTTTTTCCCCCCTTCCTATTGCAAATTGCAAAGGGCCCATATAAATACCCTTTTCAAGCAAAGATCGTGAAAAGTGGTTTATCATCATAGGTACGATGATTAAAGAAAGTCTTGACCTCTTTGGAAATGGCAATTAAAAATTATTATTATTATTGTTAATAATTATTTTTTTTTTTTTTTAAAAAAAAAAAAAGATATGCAAAAGAAATTTCTTTTTTTTTGGGGGCAAATTAAAAAAAAATATATTATTGATTAATCATATATTTTTTAAATTAAAAATAATTTTACAGCAATCTAATTTATTTATTTTACTTTACTAAAAAAAAAAAGTATATATAATTATTTTTATCGAATGAAACGTATTATAATAAATTTTAACAAATGTTATATTATTAACATTTATATGTAGAAATCAAAAATAACTTTTATTATTAATTAAGATTGTATTAATTTGAAGTTGATCTATTAGATAATATATATAATTAAGAAAAAATTTTATATTAGCCATTTAAACTAATATAATTATTTTATTTTATACTGTTTAAAATAGATCATGAAGATGATTTTAATAACTTTATTATTATAAATATAATCTAAATATAATTTTATAATCTTAATATATTAGTTATAACTTAAATATAACTTCATAATTTTATCATGATAGATATAATCTGAATATGATTTTGTAATTTTAATATATCAGAATAGTCTGATTAAGATTTTATAATCTTGATATGTTAGATATAACTTAATTATAATTTCATAATCTTACTATTACATTATAATCTAATTTTTATTTATAATCTAATTCATAATCTATATATATTAATATGATCTTTCTATAACAGTGTAATCTAATTATATCAATATTTTCTGCTTTTTTTAGATATTTTTCTAAAGATTTTCTTTCTATTAATTTTTTTTATTTTAATATTATTTAACTATATTAATATAATTTAATTATGCTATTTTATTTGCTTTTTATATATTATTTTTCTCTTTCTTAATTTTTATATTGATAGAATTCTAATATAATTTGATTTTATTTTATGATTTTTGTGTCTTTATTAAGATTTATAATTAAAAAATAGAAAATAAAATCTGTATTTTATTTTGTATTAGAATATTATTTAATTTATATTTCAATATCTAATGAAAATTAAAGTACAATAAAGCTAAAAATAATAGGATTTATATAATAATTCTAAATTTTTTAATAGTTCATAAACATAAAATACAGAGGGTGGTCAAAAGTTTTCAGACACTTTTTCACCAAATATAAAACTGATAATTCTTTAGCATTAATAGTA